TGTTAGCCCTTCGTGACATTTCTGTATTTCGTGTTTTTGTGTACTGGGGACCAGGTGGTTCACACAGCAATATGGAATGAGTAGGGATGCGGCTGTACAACCTTAGATAAAACTTTTCAATAACAGAGGGTGTTTTGTCTGGAATTGACATGCTTCCGTAATTCACGCCAATGAAGCAAAATTTACATTCCTCTAGTATGTAAACCGTTATCGCGTCAAAAGTTTCCTGTTATACTCAACAAATTTGTAACATTTGTGAATGTGACGTTTCCACTTTATTTTATCTGCAGCAAGGAATCTGACAACGTATACGAAGCATATACCCATACCGCACCGTTTCGTAATTCTAACGATTTTTGCAGTTGCCTTCAGCTCTGTCTAAAATCTAATAACAGGCGAATTGCTGGATGATAATGAAAAACACGCCTTAAATTGTAATACGCTCCAAGTTTTTAGCGAGCCCAACCTAACTTATAACGATGTAATAAATGGAATCCTGTAATAACCAATCGATTAAAATTTAATCTCGGTTGTACGAATAATGTACTACCTTTTTTATACAATCTGATATCAGCACGAACGGTGTTAAATATGCCCATGGAAGGGTTGGGGTAAACAAGAGATTAAACACACGTTTTATCTACGTTTTTGTTTTAATAACGTTTGTGATGACCGCATTACTACCATCCATAGCACTAATGGAAAAAGAATACTCCTATTTATTATACATAAAACGAAAACAACCATTTTAAAATTGCTTTCCGTCCAGTTTTCCAATTTGTACGGTAAAGTTTGTTGTTCGAGTTAACCCCACGATTTCCAAGGAGAAAAACACTAAACTTGATTATGTCCATTATTAAAATTCCCCCTTAGAACCCTTAGAAATACCAGAAATTTTTTGTAATCCCTCGGTCGGAAGTTTCTTTTGAATTATCTTCCTTGGGAAAAAGGGTGCATGCACGTTGTGCCTTTTTCGGATCGACCTTGCTTTCTGAAATATGCTCAAAAATGGAACTAATTCTTAAGGTGTTATTTGGCACGATGTTAGCAAGATATTTTTAGATTTTAGATGCGATATAAACATGAATTGGAAATTAGTGCCTTTTCATCTTTTATGTGATAAATTAAAGTGCAGTTATCAGTCTATTTTTTGAAAATTACTTTAGGAACGAGTTCAAAAGCTGAGGGTGGTGAATACCGACTCAAAACAATACACCAATGAGGAACTTTTGAGCTCATAGTTTAAGGACAGCAATGGAAAAAATACAATTTCCATTACTAGTGTCAACAGGATAAAATTGACACAGTGCAGCCTAAAATTTATTGCCCTGGGAGACTTATTATTATGCTACGTAAAGTTCGAAGAAGTAATGAACTTGCCCCACAAACGAAAGATTAATGTTTTTGAAAATCTTGGCGAGGAAGGTTATGAAGGTGTTGCTTGTATCCATGGAAGCGCCGGTCTCTCCTGAACTTATAATCCAGGTACTTAATAATTTTAGGATGCGCATTAGATAGAAATACTCTAAGAGATTTTAATATCCGGTAAGGATTACGCCCATCCCCACAGTGCCATTCATAATAATTATAAACGCGTTTGAGCCCCTTATATGTGCATTTTGCAGTCGAATTCAAATGAAACCCGAACGGGTTATAAGAGCGTGTTCGAAATTTTAAATCGCCACTCGAATGCAGTAAATTAGATAGAATCAAATAATACGATTTGGACTAAAGCTGCAAAACATCGGCAAATCGTTAGGAAGATTGTTCTGTAGACTGAAATTTTAAGATAAAGCGAGAGAAGTATAATTTGTTCCCGGTTTGAACAGTAAACTGCCATTTAAGGTTTAAGTTTATAGTTCATTTAAATGCATGTGGTGCAGCACGAAAGAGTTGTTTTTAGATTCACCTATATCAAAATGTGTCTGGTGACAGATTTTCGATTTAATCCTCATCTCGTCTAATGCATAATGCATTTGGTTTTTAGTTACACAACCTGGAAAATAAAATACGGCAGTAATTACTAGCATTACCTGTGAAAGAATTTCCCGTCCACAAGACAATTGATCTGAGTTCGGTAGCCCGTATTACGTTGCAAGTCTGATATATGTGGAACTTTACAACCCTTGATTAATGGTTCCAAGGATAAACAACCCAAAGATACTAATAGCAAAATTTCCTTTAATATACGTCAGAAGACCTCAATAACAGGGATAATTTCACCACTTATTTGGGGAACAGTTGTAATTTTAAATAAGGTAAAGACGTAAATCAACTCAGTAAATAAGCAAAACTCTACAATATTTCAAAATCGAAAGGAAAAGCCTTTGTAAATTCCAAGTCGAACTATTTTAGTAACATGTTTTTATTATGTTTTTAAATTACGGTCCTCGTAACTGTTTTTTACAACACAAGGATTGAAAACTCTTGATCGTATCAATTACAATTAACTTTATACTGCAATAATAAACTTTATTAAAGGTATTTCCTGACCGACGCGACGCCTAGCTCAAATACAAATTCTAATTCAATCACCTTATGGAAATATTGGCCTTTTTACTTCCTGAATAATCAATAATCTGGTACCAGGGACCCAAATTCCACTTATCCTACATTGTTCTTACTTAAACGTTTTACGGGTACAACAAATACTGTAAGTCTACGCCTTTTAAGAATTTTTCTGATCAAAATTTGTTACAATTTCTTTAAGAGAACCGATCGTTGTTTTTACACAAACCAAAAATTTTGCGTTACCTTAATTTTAGCGGTTTCTAGAATCGATGGTTTCCCTATGGTACAGCTCACTATCAGTGTTAATTTGTCTCTTTTAACTTCCGCTTTTTAATTAAAGCCGTCACCCTAACCCCGATTTATGTGGGGAGGGGGGGGGGGGGCTCCATTGGTACCTTCATTTTTTTGATAGTTCTGAATACGTAATTGTAATTGCACAGCCTGTTAAGGACCCAGAACAAGAGAGGGTAGAAACAAAACTGTTGTTTTCACGATAGTACTACTGGGTTAAATATTCCTCTCGGAACGTTTATTTTACAATGGGTAACACACTTGAATCCAATCAGAAATTTTCGCGTTTTTTTAACGCTCTACCGCGGAGTAACCTCCAAGAGGCGTTTGGATTACTACTGACGCCCTTAGTGGTCGAGGAAGATGTTTTGACTCGTCTGGCGGTTTTTGACTTCGACTAGAACTTGCATTTATTTCCGTAGATGAATCGAGTCTTATCTCCTGTACAACTCAGAAGTCACTCCACCTACCAGGGAGAAACATGCGCTAGAAATTGCTCCCTCCGTTGTCAGGGCCAGGATTAAAAATTGGATTACCAGTCAATTCCAGACTCAATGAACACAAGGGTCTGGATAAGATTAGCAAAATCACCGGCGCTCTCACGGGGCACTATCGCCTGAATAACATGGGGCTTGTGAAGGATCCCAGCTGCAGGTTCTATGGCGAGATAGATACCGAGCATGTGGTCCGTTACTGTGACGCCTTGATCAGAGACCAACATGAGTTCCTTGGGAACAGTTATCTGGAACCGGGGAGGGCGAAGAAACGAAGGTTAAACAGGGTCCTATCCTTTATTGAGAGGAACGGATTGTTAATGTTCAGCAATTCCCCAATTATTTCCTTAATACGCCCCTGTTATATTTACCATTTTAAGATTCAATGCTCCAGATGGCGCAGTGATTTGTATTGTATCTTTTAGTATGTTTGACATTGTAAAAAGTTCATTGTACCCTGGGTGTTTTTACTTTCATAATTAAATACTTGGTATTGCTTAATTTGATCTGAATGCCATTCTATAGGTTATGGGTCCAGGAAGAAAACTGCCAAGACAACACTCGACTTTATAGAAGGTAAGTCACTGAGCGAGGAGCTGAAATCCAAAGTAATGGATGGAAAGTGAGCCCATCGAAGTTCAACACTTCCTTGAGTCATAACAGTAAGAAAAGAAATTTCCCTAAATGTTTCCTCCAAATAAGTTACCCGAGAAGTTTCTCTACAAGTGCTTCGGCTGGAGTGTCCGAGGGCACCACCAATTCGAGTGTCCCAAGAATAAGCAAGCAAAGAAAGGTAATGTGCGACAAGGAAGTTGATTTTATAGCCTCACGAGCGAACAGGTTGGAAATAAAACCAACAGAACGATGTTTGATGTTTTATGATTTCGGAATTGAGGGGGAATGTTAATGTTCAGCAATTCCCCCTACGCTTTATTTCACCTGAATGCCATTTTACACGATTACCGTGAAGCGGCGTGGTCTGAAGGACCTGCAATGGGAACTTGAAACTCGTATTAATTGTCGTGCAAAATCAAAATACACAGAAGACTATAAAACCCATTAAAATCTGACGGAAATTCAAAAAATCCTAAAAAATACTAATGGCGGACTTCCGTTAAATCTTCTAGGCTGATATGGCCACCTTAAAGTCTCTAAACATAAGCGACCCGTTCGGGGTGTGGGTAAATAATAATTTATGTGTCTTTGTTAGTTATTTTTAAATCCAAACACTTGTAAAGAAAGTGAACAAGTGAAGTTAGTACAAATGTGCAATACTGTTAAGTTCAAATTTTATATTGCTGGAAGGTAATATCTTTCCATTTGGCACTGATTAAGTGAATTGCACGTAGCTTTTATAATTCACAAAACTTGCGACGTGGTTTAATTGCCTTGAGATGACTGCATCTTAGATCAACCACTAAGGGCTTAATTAAAATTTTGCCAATCATGTGTTACGCTCATATTCAACACTTTGTGTTACTTAAAAATGTAGCCTTCGCGAGATTATGCCAACATTAATTATACCTAATTAATTAAAAACTAAGCCATGCGAAATAAGGCGTCCGGTAAATGTCATTATTTCTAATTGGAATTAAGTTTTGCCCAAATATACGAGCAGCTAGTGTAAATTACATTAAATTTAGCTGAAAGAATTAATTATTCTTTTTTGCTTGTCTTTATGTATTTGACTTATATTTCATTTCTCAGTGAACTCGATGAACGTGCATTGGAGTAATTTAGATAAATTTGGAGTGGCAGCTTCGTAATTAATAATTTACCCTAATTAAGGACTTTTAACAGTTGAAGCCAGAACTTTGGTTCTGTAAACAGCAGACCATTTTAACCCTCAAATACCAGATCGCGTTTTCATACCAAATCGGTCTTGAGTTCGGCCACACATAATAATCCATTTATGGAAAATAACTTTGCATAATTATATGATGTTCAAAATAAACAAAAATAAAGATCACACATAATCTCCAAAGAGAACTGGAATAACTGCTCACTGTTTGAATTCAAGCAACTACTAAGTTTGATCTTCCACTCAACCCAGTAGCATTAATTATGGCATCATTTCCTGGATGTGGCCTGCTAGTGTAAAACCATTATCTTTAAAATTTTAGGTGGTTCATCTTAGTTGATTTTCCTCCTAGTTAAAACAGGACTGTGTGTTTTATTTCTTATATGTAGATATATTGTGTTGTTTTTAAAATTTTCGTTTAATATGAGGTGGCCATTTATTAGCAGCACCAGTATTGCAATTTTGTGTTAGTGAGAATTGGTGAGATTTTTTCAGGAAGCCCGAGTCCAATTTAACCATTTCCAGTATGTAACGAGACCACAGTTACCCCGTCATTGATAGTCCATCCTGAGTATTACTTCCTGACTGACACGCAAGAAATAACCAAGTCCTACACTTACAGATAATTGTAATCCTAGTAACATTAAAGCATGCAATAAAAAAAGATTTGTGGTTAGATATCATTAAGACATTATAAATTAACGTATAATGATTGATAATTTGTATGATACGAGCTTTATAGAGGTAATTTTACGTAATTACTGACTATCTACAGAAAATAATCGCTTGTATTAGATCAAGGACGAAATTATTTTTCTGTTTTTTTTTATAAACGGCGGAAGCGATAATATACCGCCAGAAACTTTCAAGGTAAGATGCCCTGGACCATCTCCAGCACGGCGCAATGTCAAAATGCCGCATCTGTTGATTCTTGGTACCTGTACGGAATCACGTCGAGAATTTGGCAATCAAGGACATCTTTACAACCTCGCCATTCATTTCTTGCAGCTTCTTAGTCATCTTGGAAATACCGCAAGGTAATTTAATGGCATAATTTATTGGTGTAATTAGATTACAACCTTTTCGTTGCTTTTCCCCAATAAGAATGGCAAAAAAACGTTAATCGTAGCTACTCACGTGACGAACGTTTTTTTGTTGTTACGAGAAATTTCAGGATCTATTGTTCTAAGAAAATTAACCTGCTCAGTACCATTTAAATTTTACTACATTATGCATGAATGGCACGAGGTACCATAACATTTTAGTGGCTTTCCGTTTTGGTACTATTAATGTGTTCTAGAAATGATATGGCGGTTACTTTTGCTAATTATCCTTCCAATTTTTGTGACGACTCAAGAAGCTGATCTGCTTGTTCGAGTCAAGCAAGGAACACTACGGGGATCGCTAAGGAAGACCTGGGGTGGAAGATCGATCCTAGCTTTCCAAGGCATTCCATATGCAGAACCTCCTATTGGAGATCGACGGTTTCAGGTACCGTATGTAAATCTCAGCGATACTAATTTGTACTTATAATGTAGCCGCCGACCCCGGCAAGAGCTTGGGGAGGTGTTTTGGATGCCACAGGCCCGCATGCCTATTGCCCGCAGAAGGACTTATTTTACGATAGCATTAATGTGTTTGTGGAAGAAGACTGTTTGTACCTTAACGTGTATACTCCCACGGTAAGTACGTGCAAACTAAGTTAGTTAGTACAAATATGATATTTTAGACTCGCAAGCTTTTACCTGTAATTGTGTACATCCACGGTGGAGCTTTCACCAGCGACAGTGGAAATCCTGATTTGTACGGACCTGATATTCTATTAGATAAGGACCTTGTCTTGGTCACAATTAATTATAGATTAGGGGCTTTGGGCTTTTTAAGTTTGGAAGACAGCGTACTGCCAGGAAATAACGGATTGAAGGATCAAAGTTTAGCGTTGCGATGGGTGAAAGATAATATCATTAGGTTTGGAGGAAATTCCGGCAAAGTAACGATTTTTGGAAATTCAGCGGGTGGCGCAAGCGTTTATTATCATATACTATCCCCGCTTAGTAAAGGTGGGCGGTTTGTGGCGTTTCTACTTGTTTTATCTTTTAATGTTTAGGATTGTTTCATTACGCCATCTCCAGTAGCGGAATAGCCACGAGTTCTTGGGCGATGGCAAAACGTGGCGAGGCAAAAGCGCAAGCTATAAAGCTAGCGAAAACCTTTAATTGTACTACATCATCCAGTGCATTAATAATCAAATGTTTACAGACAGTCGACCAACGTGATATAGTTGAATTAGTTTATAAATCAATGGTATACCACACCATCCGTCAAACAACTCCCCAGTCAGTCTACTTTTAGGAGTTCAGCTACGAGAAAAGCATCCCTTACAGACCAGTTATTGAACCAAAACTGCATGGATCTTTTATAAGTGACCATCCCCTTCACATCATTAAATCTGGAAAGTTCAACCATGTACCCTACATGAACGGAGTAACGACGGAGGACGGTGCCATTAAGTCGGCTGGTAGGTGCAACTATACTTAATACTTCGACCGTCTCATTTACTGTTGTTCCAGCAATCTATGATGATGACGCCTTAGTTAATCAGATGGATAGCGAATTTACGGATTTGGCCCCAGTAATGTTCTATTATGATGATCAGAGCTGGAAGGGAGCGGCATCCCAGATGATTAGGGCATTCTACTTCCAAAATAGGTCAATTGATTCTAACACAAAATCGCAACTAACAGATGTAAGTAAACCAATTTAAGGGTGTGATATTATTATTTTGATAGCTTTTTACCGATGGGTTGTTTTACTACCCACAAAGGGCCGGTAGCGAACTACATGCAAAATACTCGACTCGTCCTGTCTACTTTTATCTTTTCGGGTACAGGGGTAGCAAAAGTGTATCCATCTACTTTGGTAACCCGACATATGACTACGGTGGGTGGTGTTTTGACAAACGTAGCCTTATTATATGTTTACAGGGGTTTGTCATTGCGATGATTTGATTTACTCCCTCAGCAACGAACTTTTTGACGACTACGAATCAACGCAAACCGATCTAAACATGAATCACGTAGTGACAACGCTACTCTACAACTTCGCCAGCTTTGGGTAAGGTTGCCAGTAGTTTTAAATAGCATCCACTGTAATTGGGTAATTATTTAGCAATCCTACGCCCGGAAGAAGCGAGCCAGTTGCCGTAAAATGGGAACCGATTCAAAATAATACATTTAAATATTTGTCGATTATGGGACCTACCAAAATTAAGATGGAGGAGGCTTTGTACGAAGAACGCTATCGCTTTTGGAAGAAATTCGCTATTTTTCCAGAAATAGAAAACTTATAACGTAACGGCAACTTGTGTACTATTTGATTGAGCATAATTTTGTTTCTTATTATAATATCACCCACACGAATTGTATTCTTTTAAACGACCCCTCTCTCAAGTTCCGCGTCGGGTAGAGCTAAAAGGCTGAACCTGTTTTTTGTTCCAATCGAGAATTAATTGTCGCCGAGGGTGCGTCTTCGGATACCTCTGAATCAACGAGGGAAAGCGCACTTTCGGCGCCGAACAGAAGAGGACGAAGAAATCTAGAATATTCCTATGAGAACGAAATGGGCACAGTCCACCCCAAATTTACCACATCGACGAGTGCTACCCCCTCCCAGAGGAATTCTCAAAGCAGGCAGGCAAACACCCAGATGTGGAGATCAATATCTAACGAAGAAGTGTCGCACATAACCCCAACCAGTACAACCACAACAAGTCAAAAAAGTAATCGTAAACGATTTACAAAAAGCTCATTTCCACTGGCATTCATTTCTCATTTGTAAGGTTAGGTAAGAAAGTTAGAGTTGCATATGTGCAATCCATTTTTGACCTGCTACTTCAATTTCAGTTTCTAACAATAATCCTATCCTAAAATTATAGAAGAATTGGTTCACACATAGCGAATGTGGGTCTGGACATGCGCAACATTTATTGTATTGCATGTTTTTAGTCGGATCGAATTGCGCATGCTCAAAACAAATTTATTTGATTCGGAATTAGTTTACCTTTATTCGAGGTGCTCCATACAAAATTTCATTTAAATATCTTAACAAAGGAAAATTGGACTGCGCAAATACAAAAGTTATCGTGGACAACGCAAAATTGCACACGGACATGAAAAACATAGATTTTTACTATAACTTTTTCTTAAGCGGCACAGAAAAAATCCTTCCTCGGTGCAAGTGTCAACACCATAACGAACCAAATAGCGAAAAAAGTAGAACAATAACTCTTAAGATAAAGAACTAGTAGCGACCGGACGGGCGGACAGACGTACAGATGGACGGACGGATAGACAAAGAGGCCACAATGGCGTATTTTTTTATAATTTTGGTGGAAATGCGCTAAAAATTAGATTGCGCATGCGCAAAACAAATTTCTTGATTCGGCATTAGTTTTACTTTTATTCGAGGTGCTTATACATACAAAATTCCATTTAAATACCTTACCAATTGAAAAAATTAGATTGCGCATACGCAAAACAAATTTTGAAAAGCATTAATTTTACTTTTAACTAAGAACATTTGTACCAAATTTCAAAGCGATCGGACATTTCTAAACAAAGTTATCGTTCACACGAACAGATAGATGGACAGAGAGACAAAGGAACAGACGGGCAGACCAACAAACAGACGACAGACAGCAATACAAAATTATAAACGATCTCTAGGATCGTTAATAAACGGCAAACGTGTAAAATTATGAAACATGTCAAAAATGGTTTTTTAGTTTTTTTACAATAACTTTTTTAGCAATAAACGCAAAAAAATTCCTTCCTTGGTGCAAGCCTCGACACCATAACGAACAAAATAGCCAAAAAGTAGAACAAAGGCTCTTAAGATAAAGAACTAGTAGCGTCCAGATGGACGGACGGACGGGCGGACGGACGGACGAACGGACAGACAAAGTGACCACAATAGGGCATTTTTTTTGTGGAAATGCGCTAAAAATGCCGCCTAAACGTACTTCAGTATAGGTAATCTCGGCACGAACTTGCAATGGCCGAGATCCAACCAGTCCCTGGACCTGGACCAGTGTCACCTCCACCTTGTAAGGAAAATATTGAAATTGGCAACGAAGGGATTTTATTTGAAAACCGCTTTGCCAAAACTCACTAACATACCAGAATTCATAACCAGATATTAATCCAGAACCGTATTGCGTTGTATTCCAGACGATACTTTTCCAGAGTCTTAATTATTTATTACTGTTACTGAATTACTGTTCCGCTTATTTTCCGTTTTATTCATTTACTAATGTTAATTTCTATTTAATTTTTCCCATCATACTTGCATGTACTATCGATAACGTCAATTCTGGTATGGTATGTAATCCTGCCGACCTCACGTTACGTTAGGGTCCTTTTATGGGCGTTAAACTTAACCGGCCTCATTTGGAAGGGACCGAGAACATTACCTTGAATGACAACCAGATTCCATGATACAGCCCTGTGTCGGGGTACCTAAAAATTACACAACGTGACACCGTCCTTGAATTCCTATCCTTTCGTCCGTTGTATACAGGGTGGCCCACTAAAAACAGTCAATGCCAATTTTGCCAACTACAATTTTAGTTTTGAGGGGGAGAGTTAAATTAAATAATACTACTTACATAACTTTAACCCTGAGAAGGGGGTGAATCGCACCCCAAAAATTTTAAATAGGAAGGGGTAGTAAATGTTAGATAGGTCGAAAGGACTGTTTATTATGTTTTCATAACTGTTTTTATTTTTCAAATCCGATCAGTAGTTCCAGAGAAAACTCGATTTAAATGGATTTGAAGGGCCCTTTATTAAGTAGGCGTTGAAGTTGAAATAACTAAGAGCTTGTGTCAGAAAAGAACATCTGACATAAGTGCAATAAGTGCACAAGCAAGGAAGCGAATTTTTGAAGGCAGAATCGCCATTTAAAAAAAAATCGAAACAATTTCCACTCCTTGCGCTATAGTGTAAACCGTCATTGTTTTTGAATTTCCCACAAAATTAAACAAGTTAATCACAAATTCGCTTTATATATTCATAGTACATATATTCCAAATCCTTCTAGAACCATTGTCATTTACTCTATAAACAAATTGTAGCGTATTTCAGTTCAGGTCTTTTGACTTTGATGCACTTGAGTTACGTTAAGTTATGTAAGTGATAAATAATAATTACTGTTATACATTAATTCTTTTTAAGATTGTTATAAATTTATTGTTAATTAGTTGTATTAAATAAAATTCCGTAGTTAAACTTACATGACTGATTATTATCGAATGTGGAATTAAAAATCTCTATACTTGCTCAATTTTAACGATCCAATGTTTATTGTAATTCCAGTTCAATGTTATTTGTTTATTGATAGGTAAGATTGTATATCAGACTTTTGAGATATGGAGCTCAATTATTTGGACAAATTCGGCGCCTGGGTGAAGAACATGCCCAGATTTATTTTACTGGAGGAAATGAATAAAGTAATAAATATTGTAGCTGTTTGTATTAGTTTATATACGAGTAATATATAATATAAAAAAATATGAAATTAGTTGCTAACTTTCAATAGGAAGTACTACTGCTGCGCAAAGATTTCTTTAATCAGCAAATGGTATTTGTTCGATCCGACATAGGTACGTTAATAGCTAACGGACCTTTTAATTAGTTTTGTTTAAAATTATTACTGAGTCAATTTCCCCACATTCTCATTTTCAAGACGCTTTCACTTGACCAATGAAAACATAAACGTCCAAAAGTTAATTATTTATGAAAGGATTATTATGAGAAGGGAGTTTGTAAATTAAATGTCTCCAATTTGTGCTTTACAAAGGCACTCGAAGCTATTTATTTATCGTGCAAGCCTTTTGAAGTGATTGCAGTAATAAAGCTGCTAGTAGCCATCACAGCAGTGGTTTAGCGTAGGGGCGCACCGTCCCGGGTTGAAGTTTATTAGGGGTAGCAACGTTATACCTCCTCTTGTGAAGATATATTTGTATTTTGACCATGCTGATTTATCTGATAAGAACTGAAGCGAAAAACTATGGTAAAGAGACTCCTGGTATGCATACAAAATTTCTGTTCTCAATAATCTAATATCTCTACTTTGATTAGTGTTGAAAGTTGAGCTTCAATTAACCACAATTTGCGCCCTTTTAATAGTCTATGAGCTGGTGAACCTTTTTGTTGCACCATCGTATTCTGGCTGAAAGCTGTGGCAATGGTTTAGCTTGTGATTGATCATTCTACCCGATGCCTGACACCTCAAACTTGAGACATACATAAATAGGGAGCATATGGAACAAATTGATCATCAAACCAGGTAAGTCAAATGTTAAACAATCTTCAAGGCATCCAATTGAATCCAAAATTTTGTAATTGAAAATGAATGGAAATTATTTAAGTCAGAAGCGGTTATTTATATCCTAAAGATTCGCTTCCCGGATTTAATTATTTTAGGATTCTTTGATCTAAATAAAGTGGTATTTAGCTATTTAAATGGAGCGCTTTCAAATCCTTTGTGTAATTGTGCCTAAGAAGAGACAATTGGACACGTCGTCCGTCTATGTTCGGTCACAAAATTTCCTGAAGGTTTCTTTGAACTAAATTCAGCGATTGATTAGTTAACTTCTAATTCTAAGAATATGTACAATTTTCCTTCAGTTCTTATATCAACGGCAGTATCCGATTTAAGAGGTTTGATGAAACAAATTTCACATTGCCCTATTCGCTTTTTCTATTTGTAAAAATTTCTGCAGTGTTTGGTGGGTATATTGATATTTAGATTTAAGTCATTCGCATTTTTAAAATACGAAAATAGTTTTTTTGTTCACAACTCTGCCAGTTGTAATGTATTGCTGCTGATGTACGTACAATTTTATAATCCGCTGCTTCGATAGGATAAACAACGCGCTTTTCTAAAAAGCTTCTGGTGGCGTAACTGCGACTACATTGTGGGAAACGAGTTTTATCAAACTCAGCTGTACAGGGGTTAAAAGGTCTGTTTGTTGGTTTGTCATAGCGGAAATAACACCAGAGAGCATTACTCGTAGACGGCGATGTAATTGGCGTGTGTGAACGAACACGGAACGGCTACTCTTTTCTTAGTTGCAACAACCCCAATACGGACTGCGTGAAGTTGCCATCCGCTCAAAAATAAAAGCCAGAGCAGCCACTTTTCATCAAAGACGTTATTGAGTTTTTGTTATTCTAAAAATTCGTTTCTGGGGAAATATTTGTATTTAGTCGTGCAACTGTGCACTGTATTATATGAGTAACGAAAATGAGGGCGACGTTAAGTCTCGTATTCAAGAATGACTGACAAAAGCATGTTGATTAGCAACCCTACATCATCTATAATTGGTAGTGCAGAAAGACAGTAGCGAATGAATGAGTAGACATGGCCGCCTGTATTAGTACTTCGCCACTTTGCGGGTGGCATTAATTAAGAGTGAGTGTGAGTGATTCTGGGAGATTTTTTATTCATTCGGGTTTGAAGACCGTACTTCGTGGTTTCAGAAAAAAGACTTACAAAGGATTGGTTCCCATGGAAGCCCGCGGAGCAATCCGAAGATTTGCAAAATATCAACCAATTTGTTAGTGAATTCGATTTTAAGTTGCGAGAGCGAAACGTCACAAATCGAGAAGTTTTTTTCGCTTCTTAATTGCGACAATAAGACACATTAATAATTCAGTTCATCTCTATCTCCGCTAATAAATTCTCATCTCTCTCCGCTATGTTACCTTTAATTGCTCCAACGTACATTTCTTACCGATTAACTAACGGCTTATATTTATCTCAATTTAAATTTATAAATAATACGTCTACAAAATGCAATACACCTAATTACAAAATTTTATTCCTTCACACCCAGGTCAAAAAGCATTATTTGTAATAGAAAATATTTACACCCATTGCACTACGCCAGCAACCTGCGACTCCGCATTTATCTAAAAAAATTTGTTCATTTTTTCGAATTTAATTAACCTTATGTTATTACGAAATTGAAACACTTGCAGCAAATAATTCACCTGTGACACTTGTTTGCTCTCTGGCATTCTTTTGTTTTTTATTGTCACAGCCTACTCCGATGTATAATCATGTAATTAATTCATGGGTAGGTACTTTAGTGAAAACTATTGAATAACCTAAAACACTATGGGGACACTCCTTATAAATTTTGAAGAGAGAACACAAAAGACAATCGAATAGCGAAATAAAATAGTGGTAGTTCCGTTTGAAAAAGAATAGTTATGGCACTTTGAACAAATGACATTGAAACAAGTAAAAATATGCAGGATGTTCTATTTAAAAATCAGTTATTTATTGACACCGTGAAAATGGGACACACTGTACATTCAAAAATAATTTCTGTAGATGCGCAACCATCTATAGTTGACATTTTCACAAAATATTTTTAAATATTTTTTTACTAGGTATCAGCTAGGAAAGACCCAAGCACCGTTGCAGAACCAAATACTACAATATTGAATAAAAATGTTTAGTGACTCTCGAAAAACGGAAATTTTGTACATTGTAACTGTTGGCTCTTCCGTTTCAATACCAACCCCTGCACTAGCCAAACCACATCTCAATTAAAGGATTGAATCTTTAAGAAGAAATCATTGTAATTTTAAACTTGACTGACATTTAAAAGTTCATAAAATATTTTTAATTAGTAAATTCTTAAAGAGCTCAGTTTAAAAGTGGTTGAAGCTGTTTTATTTTTCATGCAATAATGAACCCACCAAAAATTAGATTTCTGTAAAACTGCGTTTGGTCTAGAATTAATCGAAAAAAATTTCCGATTTTTACAATGAGATGAGATAAACTGCTATAGATCCAGTCAGTGGTCAAATAATAATTAGTGAAGGATTCAGAAATTCAAAACACCACCTTCTTATACAACCGGGTGCACGTTTTGTTCCAATAGTTGTCTAGAATTTTGTATCACATACATTTTTTGAAGCGTAGATCAGGCCTTAAGTTGCGACATGGGCACCAATAGAAGAATCGTTAGCAATCCAAACCGGCGTGCTCGAACATTCCTTTCCATTCCACGCGCGATGCTCTGTCGCCGTTATGGTTGCACCATGAAAACATCCACTGTTCACTCTGTGGTTTTTGATTTAGCGTGATGTCATATTGCACCAATGTTGCGATGCAGAAGTTCTATTGGTTTTGGGAATAAAATTTCTACTGCCCTAGTGATTCAACGGGGGTAGGTATTAATGACCACACTTTTGGTACTAGTAGGCATTCGAAACAGATCGAAGAAATTCTAAACGAACTTAGCGATATAGAAGTGTTATTGCAATGCGATAGATGAGTTTGCAGAATTTGATGATAATACGTAGGTAATCGTTTATGTTAAATATTTGATAACTAGTAATCGTGTTTGTTCAATGACGCAATTCCGTTGCAATAAGTTAATTATATCTCTTAATCGAATTACTATTGATATTAGGGTGGTTGGTATCTTCCAAGAGATTTGGTATCAAATACTTCGCATAAGATCTGACATTCTTCGGTGTAGGACTACATCTTATCGTAGAAAATAATGCCACTATATTTTTAGTAAAGACATCAAATTCCCTAATTTCCAATGTCAACTGGGAGCGTGGAGTTCAGGGTTAAGCTTTTCCTTGACTCCTCCCCTTGACCATGGAGTAATTACTAAAAAAGTTTATTATTTGCTGAACAGTGTAGACGCATGCCGCGTAATGTTGGTAGTAATATTGTTGTTATTTTAGTAAGTAATTTTTAATTAAGTGTTTAGTAGTTTTTTGTACGATTTTGTAGCTGTTCCAATATGATGGTAACATGTTACATTCGCGAAGTGTACCAAAATCCAATGTTTGATGAAACACCTAAACATTCTGTTCAGTGGGATGGTAGAATCTTCGTTGTTGAAGGTAGAATATGCGAGTGTAAGGTGCAAAATGGCTCAGTTATCCTTGGTCAAGCAACTTATATTAAAATAATCATGGTAATTGTAAGCGAAAATGAGGAATCGTATCACGAACTTTGTGATACTGGATGTAGATATTTGATCAAAACGGAACCGTATGAGGCTCAGAACGGACTTTGTACTTTCTTAACACGTTACATTCAGCTGCAGGTAAAATTTTAACATAACCACGGGTAACCCAATTCATTAATGATGGTTTAGGCATTCGTACGGGGTCATTTCTGTGAGATGGTGATGATCAGAGCCGGACAAGTGGATGTAATATGCTATGATAGACGACAAAACATTGAGTGTTTCTCACAGTGGAACTTTTGACCACTACCAAATTGGGCTATTTCTCTGGGTCGTAGAAAATGAATTTTGGAAAACAGAGTAGAATAAATTTCTTTGTGCATGATATTTACGATTATATTTAAAATATGTTTCAATGGTTACTGTCTTGTTTGTTAGTTTGTTCGTGTGTAAGTCACGCAAACCAATAGCTACGGTCGTACATCCACCTCCTCTACGTCTACAATACCCGCTGGACCTAGCTCTCTCCCCACCCTACTATTATGAGCCAAGTGTATCAAATTTATGAGTTATTTAGGAGTTTTTTATATCGCAAGCATAAAATTTTAGAGCCTTTCTATAAGGTTTGGAAGTTACCCGTTAAATTGAATGTTTCCACCACCAAAAAAGCCGCATATACACTATACAGTATAAAATAGCATCGAAGTCAGTGTCGTTGATATCAAGGATAAAGCAACAGTGAAGTTTTGGAAGCATTATCAGTATATATGGCAGTTGACGGGCTATTAAGGCTTATTAACTTTAATGTAATTAGAACATTAACTTGTTTCAATCGAACGCATGTGCGTGTAGTTTATCATCTGGCCCTGAATGCCTATTTTTATTTTAGCTTTATTGATTGATTTATGTCGAATAAATTGTTTCTTTTTATTTTTTTTCATTTTATTATCCCTCTCTTGTTTTGGGCCCTCAACAGGCATGCGCCCAATTACAGAGTGACCCGCATAATGCTATTTAGAGGTGCCTCTGCAGAAGGTCTTAAGATGGTCTATACTACCGGTATTTACCTTACGAATTAGGAAAACTGCAGGAAAACCTAATTCGGAGTAGCCGGTAGAATGCTCGGAACTGGTCTAAGGTAATTTCCTTCTCCGCCACAGATGAAAAATTCACCTCAACCCAGGTTCGAACACCCGACCTCCGGATTTATAACCCAATGCTCTTACCACGGAGCCATAAATCCGATTTTCATGTGTAAATTGCCTTGTCTTTAATTTCGACCAAAGTAAGAGGTGCACAGGTGGGTGGTTTAGTTACCGTTTGTCATTGCATATAGCAGTATGTAGATTTTTGCTTTATAGGGGTCGAGCTGAAAAATTAGAATTACTTATAAGTAACTCTTAAATCGCTCGCCACGTATGCTTAAAAATAATAAATAAACTGTTTCAAACCAATATAGACCACGAGCGACAAAAATTAAAATTGATTGTAAGTGAAAGCTGTAAAATAACTCGGAATTGATGGATAAAAATTGCTTTGGGATAAGTAAAGGAAAAAGAGGGGGGGGGGGCTACGCAGGGCCGCAGCCAGTTGCCCCTTTTGAAAATTGCTTAATATGACACAATGTAGCATACTCATAACTGGTTCAGACATTTATCAAACAATTTAACAAAAGTAGATATAGAAAACTTCAACCAATTTAAATGGCGATATTAATTAAAAAGGTTTTAGGTTGAAAGATGGATTTAATAGTTTGTTTTCTATAATTAAATGAGTTAGGTTCATTGTGTGTTTCCCTGGTTGTGTTTTGCAGTTTGTGGGCGCATAAGTGATACTTACATATTGTAACGTAAATTTAATTAGGTTTAAAATGGATTAATGTATAACAGTAATTATTATTTATCACTTACAACATCGAAGTTGGAACTACAATTCGATTTGCTTATATAGCAAGCAACATTCGTTTTAGAATGTTCTGAATCAGAATGTTCTAGAACAAACACGTCATATTTCCATGAAAGGTTGCGTCACATCCGCTTACGTTCTTTATCGGCGATGACTAATCATTTATGCCGTCTCGGTGTCTATTGGGATGTCTGGAATATTCGCTACAATATATTATCACTTTAATTATCTTTTTTACCACCTGCAATACGTAGTACAGGTATAAGAGAGGTACCCCCGACTTTTATGGACAGAAGCCAAAATTAATTTTTACTAGTTGCACATGTGGAACCTCATATCGCGAAACCCGAAGTCGATACGAAGCCTTTTTCTCAGAAAAAAGGGTCAGTAACAATTTTGACATTTTTTGCCCAAAAATATGTTGTCACCTACAATACACATGGACCACTTAGGATTTGAGCAATCAAGTTTCCCAAGAAAATTGATGCACCAATAACGATTTTGACATCCTTTGAGTAAAAATATTTTGGTCACCAAAAATACACATGTATCATTTGTTGGTCATTGAGTTTTATCTTTTTCCCAACAAAATTGGAAATAACGATTTGGACCGATTTAGGGCAACAACGTGATGATTCCAAGAGTTAATTTGTGATATCTTACACACTTGGAACCTATTTTATATAAGAAAGAAAAAGTCTAGGGATTGAGCTATAGCACAGAACGACAGACCGAATTTCTTCAGCGGGTGGTAATTGCGTGGCACACAGCACCTCTCTCTAGATTTATTTGCCCGCTCTTAGAAACCAATCTGGCTACGGCCCTGGAGCTACGTCCGAATAGACCTGGCCTTCCAAAGGATTACCTATATCTATTTTCTCTTTTAGATTGACTAAAAATTTCAATGGGTCATGAAGGTCATATAATACCTCATCCTCATTCCTAGGGCCGTATTCTCAGTTAGTCGACCAATCTGTAAGGGCGCGTAACTCCCAACATAAGGATAACAATGGAAAAATGTCTATAAATTCATCCCCACTCACCTTTAAATTTAAAGCACAGGAGCAAAATGTAAAAGAGTTTTGGGGGCGAATATTTCGGGTACGTCTTAAATCTCGCGAAAAATATCTCCATAACAGGAGAGTATACGAAAATAGGACCAAATAGTTTTTTCGAAAGTGATTGTGCGAATCTCTGACATAAACTGGACCGTGCTTGGCCTACCTCTCGTTTGTTGAGATGAATTAATGGTTCTATCGTGAGGGGAGCCTCTTTTTATTGCAATTGTAATATCAATACCAGTAAAACATGAAAGACAAACTCAAAATACATGCATCTTGAGGTATTTTAACTAAACCCCAATCCGATTCCAGTGCTTCCCGTCGTTTACATTCGGGTTCCGTTATCAAATTGCCTTTTAATTATGACCAAATTACACTTAAGAGAGAAAGGGAGTTTTGTGCAATCTGCTTTTTTGGAAGGGATCTAAATCCAAAGGGTCTACATGGAAACACGAAATGGGGAGTTTCTCTTCGGACGAAAATACCTTTTATGTAACATACGGTTGTTAAATGCGTATAAAAGTGTGCCTTTCCTAAGGGCGATCTTATAACGAATGAGTACGCTTTCAAATTGTTTCCATTTGCAATTTTGTATTCATCAATTACTAAATTCGGTATTTTAAGGTAGTTCTCTATTCAATTCTGCAAAGTTGGTGTTCGAGTGTAGGTACATTGAACGAGCAAGGAATTAATTGGGTAATTCTTCGCTCGAAATAACGTTAACTCGTGATTTCCGTAAGATTGATTATCATCCAAACCAATGGTCTACCTAGATTTCGCAATTTCCTAATCATTTTGATTGCAAAGATAATTTTCAACCATTAAGTCGGTAATTATTTGTAGATTGCCTCAGATATACATTTTCCGCTAGAGTAACGTTTCCCTCTAATTTACTATGTATATTTATACAAAAGTTTATTATACTAATAACTATATGTATTGGTATCAAAAACATTCATTTCATTGAATTGTGCTGGGTTTAAAACTAATCAATATCGAATTCACTAAATGCAAACTTACGACCCCCTTCGAGTACTGCTTGAGACATAATTGTATAAACTCCTGGGCGGATGTTTGAGATACTGAATGCAATTACAGCCAGTAATTGTATTCCTACCGTCACCATTTGGGTGTCTAACGCGAAACGTCGCAAGTCACACTGATTAGTGATAACAAGCTGGTTACGTCGATTACAATGTGAACAACACTTATATCTCCGAAAGTGCAGAGGGAAAGCTGCTCTCCATAAACAACATAGACCCACGATTGTTTATTCATTCAATTTTTATAGAAAATGGCAAAGAAATAAATGTTCCTCCCAAAGTTATATAAATTCATTTACAGGTTACCTTCTTCCCCATTTAGTAACTGTTATTTTCCTTCTAACAGGGCAGTTAAGAGAATAAGAACAGCTTCCTTAATAAATAAATAGGTATTATTGTTTTATTTTTCTTCTTTTGTTCAACAATTCAACAAGCCGATACCCCAACTTCATAGACCTCATCTTTCTCTACACTGCAGTTTAGAATATTGTAACGTAAATTTAATTACGTCGTTTATTTATATATTAATTAACAGTCTGAAAATGAATTGATTTATAACAGTAATTGAATTTATCACTTACAGTTTATAACATAACACGAACGCACCGATGTGGGAACTGAACTCGAAACACAATTCGATTTGCTTATATACTAAAATGTTCTTAGAATGTTCTCGAGTGCTCAAGGACGCTTCAGAATGTTCTCGAACAAACACGTCATATTTCTAGGAAAGATTACATCACATACGCGTTCGTTTTTTATAGCCGATGACTAATCTTTCATGGCGCCTCGAAGTCTATCGAGATTTCTGAAATGTTTGTTACACTGCCCCCCTCTTAAAACTGTTGCGGTTCGCAACACGGACGGCGGGTATTGCAGCTAAGGTATCATGGTGTATGTCGCACATACTAGAAATGTTATTGACTCACCAATAGGTGTCCTCTTGAGCAAACTAGTGCGCGCCTTCTCACAGTAAAATCTACGGGACGAGTGTGGTACTTCAAAACTGAAGAAATCCATTCCATGCAGTCAACTTCATTATGCAGTAACAACTGCAGTACTCCCATGGTGGTTCTTCGATCGTCTAAGGATTGAAACTGGAAACGCTCCGTTAACAATAATGGATTATCACATCCAATTTTGTATAATGATCAGCTGCGCTTGGTCTTTAGGTCTTTAATAGAAAGTATAAGAAGTAGAGATCCAAGGTTAGAACCTTGCGGCACACCTGATGCCGCGATAAACGTGTTTGATCGAGAATTCTCGACCTCGACAGACTGGAATCTATCACATAAATACGTTGTGAAAAACTGGACACACGAGCTTTTGCCATATCTGAGGAAATGTTTTAGATTGTGGATTAAATTAAATAGGTATACGTAATAATGGTAAAGTCAACACTCCACTACAGTCCTTAACCATTACTCAAATTGTTACTAATCCCCCCCCCCCCCTACCAAATGAATCGGGATCGTCATAGCACACGACGTTGGGGTAGATCTTCCAAGGTTCGCCCTTCCATTGGGTAACAAAGGACCAAAATTGTGTAGCGCCAGCATTAATCACACAACGAGCCAGTCCAGACTATCAGGTTTTCCTCGTGGAAGTTTCTGTATCCGACATATTAAGTCGTTTATTCTTCTTTCTTTTGGGGACGATACATCCAAATCGTACTGCTCTTTCATTCTGGCGCTAGCTAACCGCATTTTATCGCGCACTTTAGTCATGGGTGGCGCCCACTTTCTGTCGCAGGTT